GATGGTGGAACAATCTGCCACTCTACAACTTTAACCTAGTAAACCTAAAAGACTAAAAAGGGATTTTCCTATAGAAAAAGAAAAGAGAAAAAATAGTATTAAGATATTCTTAATACTAAAAAAAAGAAAGCATGAATCAAATACTAAGCACTGCCAATGAATTCATTTTTAAACAAACAACTTTAAATCACAGGTTTAAAGTTGGAGGAAGTTTAGTAAATTAGTTCAACCCTCCTTATAATTCCCAAAACTCTTTCACAACATTCTTGTTTAAAGTTAGATTGAGTTCTCTATTTTGGAAGACAGTTGAAAATGAAAGTTTTAATTTATTTTGAGCTGAATTCTGTCTCTCTCTGTAACTTCCACCTGTTGGCCAAAGTTCTCGTGCCTGAAATAACAAAGAACTTATTTAGGTGAACCAATTAACTATTATCTGTTAATATATTTTATCAGACTCAACTTAAAAAGAACTATTTGATTTAAAATATAAAATATCTAATAATTTCTGCACTTTGGATTTTAATTCATTTCTAGACTAGGTGGGGGACAGACAGATAATCTAAAAGAATGCATCATGCCTGGTAGGAAGAGTGGAAAACTGCAGAACGGCCAGAGAATAGCCCATTCCTCATCCTGAAAAGATTATTGGTATGAGAAAATGTGGGCCTAGTGTTGCCAGTTCCAAAACAAGGCCCAAATTCAGAATTTTTATGTGAACTATCCCAATTTTTAAAGTATTGGCAACTAATTTAACTTTTTAAAATACTGTATATGCCAAACTAAACAGCTCCGTGGACTAGACTCAGATATGGCCCACCAGTCTGCAAGTTCAAACGGTCTTATTTATAAGTTTTATTTAAAGAGAAAATATGTATGGTTACTATTCTAAACTCTAGCACATATGAAGTGAAACTGCAATATATAACAAATCTTATTTTGTACTTGAAAGAAACTGGCCACAATAGTCTAAGATTCAAAATTCTCCAAAATTGAGTGCCCACTGATGTAATATCTCCCCTTACTTACATAAATGTAAGATTCACAAAGCAAATTAAGGCAATATAATTTACTTTAACTATCACCCTGACTTTTGTTATACTTGGGACGTTAGCAAATGAATACTAGAGAATCTTTCATTTCTCTTGTGTTGTCTTCCTATATTGTTCTCCTAATTCATGAGCAAGAATGGTCAATGTCAATGTAAGAATCATGTTTTTATAACGGGAATACAGACAATAGACTTGAACTTTTTTTTCATGACTAATGGTAAAAATTAAAAATTGGGAGATTAATTATATCTTTGATTATCAATTTAAAAATTCAAAATAGCTTTTGTAAGGATCTGTTAAAATCAATTAGATATCATTTAATTATCATTGGCAAAAAGGAACAAAAGAGCCATTATAAGCAAATTGCTATGAAGATGCTCAGAACCATTCGGTCTCTTAAATATCAGCTTTTTACATCCAAACATTCTGCTTTTGGACTGTGTCAAACGTGCAAAAACATTGAAGACCAAATTGGCTGTGAAATAACAAAAGATACATATCATATACAAATAAATATTTCAATAAACATACAGTCAGAGAGTGTGGAGGAGACATGATGTTTACCAGATGTTTAATTTAAATCGTTGATAGAAATAGTCAATGTCCTCTTTTCATAAAACACTTGGATTTTATTTGTATTCAAAAGCAATGGTAAATGTCAAATGACTACTAGACCATCCTTCTGAATACAAGAAAATATCATGCTGGTTAAGTCTCTAAACACAAAAAGTGCTTTTAGAAAAACAAAAATAAAGAACAGCATGTCTTATCACACAGATCAATTCAAGGACCATAGAATGCTAACAGATACCATGAGCATAATAGTGAAGTCCTTCAATTACTACATATTTTTAAATTTTGACCTTCAAAAAATATGTTCACAGGTAAGAGCTTTTAAAACCTAGGATAAATCATATATTAAGAACTGAGAGAAGTATCAATGTGAGGAATCTTTTTATTAAAACCAGCAACATTAAAGATAGATCCTTGTAATAGGTGACATATATAAAATATCTGAAGGTTCTAATATACTTTTATTATGAATGAAAATAATGAGCTTAGTAAAAAAAAATTAAAACCAGCAACATTAAAGATAGATCCTTGTAATAGGTGACATATATAAAATAATATCTGAAGGTTCTAATATACTTTTATTATGAATGAAAATAATGAGCTTAGTAAAAAAAAAAAAAAAGAAAAGAAACCTAAGAATTTTACATAGAAATGTCAATTGCTTGTTAAATCCCAGCTATGAAATAGAAAATTGATACATTAGCCATCTCTTTCTCTTGTTTGTCCTTGCCCAGTTTTTACTGTATGTAGCAATGATGGAAAAATACATCCATCGAAAAGCCAAAGAGAAGTCAAACAAATGGTCTAAATTTAATAGGAATAGTATGACCTTCCCCTAAACAAAAGATGTTGAAGAGATTAAATGAGAACACGTGTAAAGTGCTTGTCAATTACCTGGGCAATAAAGGTTACTTCTGTCCTCTCTATCCTTACCAGGCTCACTATTATCATTAAGTCTTATGTCACCTAAAGAGAATGACCTTTGAGAGCAGCAAAGGTCTCAGTGCACTGAGGACTCAGTGCCCCATAGTCTGAGACACACTATCAAGTATTTAGTAGGGGGTTAATAAATGCTTCCTGATTTACCGGAGGATAATAATAATGAACAAATGTAAAACAGAAGCTAATTGATAGGCTAAATGCATTACTGCATTCCAGTGCCCTCTATATGAAAGGTTACTAACCCATCTCAGCTAAGTGCTGAAATTATAATTAAGTCTGATGATAAGTCCTAGATTTATACCAATATAATTACAAATATTACTTAGCTTAGTAATACAGTATGGCAAGAACAATGAGATGAGTAATTTAGATGATACTGCAAAGTGGGTTTTAATGTTTGAAACTTCTATTACAGTACACAGGATAAGTGCAAGCAGCGTAATTAAAACCTAAGTCTGATCTTTAAAACTCTACTGCTCAACCTCATTAAAATGCACGTTTTCTCAATTAATCCAAACTTTTCCATTAAAAATATAAAAATACACTTTCATTCCTTGCAAATAAATCTCTACAGTATATATATTTAGGATCAAACACCAAGTAACCATTACAGTTAAGTAGGAAAAAAACTATTGAAATAGCACAAGGTTTGAATACATGGAGTCTAACAAAGGAAAGAAAAGACAAAGTGAGGGCTGCCCACTTTTTCATTTGTAAATTACTCAGTTATAGCTAAATAAGCATTTAAAGAGCTATAAGATTAGAAATCCCTGAACATTTTTGTATAAATGGTACAAACCTAAGCAAAATGTTTATTTAGGAGATAACCCGGACTTCATCATATTTACCAATTAGTGTATTTGCCAATTACTGACTCTTCTACACACGTCAGGTTTACAGAAATTTGTTGTGGAATATAATCATTTAGTTGCAGATACAGTTTTCTCCTTTTTTTTTTTTTGTCTTTTTTCGTGTCCGGCAACGGATCGCAACCCTCAGTGTTGCCCCCGTACCGGACCGGGGACCGTTTTCTCCTTTTAATTCAATGCATTACTAAGAAATTTATCTCAATATTAAGCTAATGTTAAACAACTAAAACCACAAGGTAATATTTATATATGTACTTTATTATTTGTTATGAAACTCTTTTTAAAGGATATTTTGAAGTGTTATATAATTGCCTATATAGAAAAATGTTGATTATAAAGATTTTAATTTTTAAATTTATATCATTTCAATTTTCTTTAGTTTTTTTTTTCTTTAGTTTTTTTATATGCTTCACATAGTAAATATTAAAAACAATAAACACTTTTTATAAATGATGATCACAAGCCCATTCTAGATTAGGAAATTTTTAAAGAAAAATTTTACTAAAAAGAGCCAAGTAAAGCTATCACATAATTTTAAGAGTAATTCGGAGTAATTTAAGAAAATATCACTAGAATTTACCATAACTGGGTAAAATGGAATCTATATGATTTTATTTTTAAAGTATACAAGGAAATTAAAAGTGGGGTCTTGAATTTAAAGCATTATCTGATACAAAACTAATAAATTATTTCTATTTATAAAAAAATTAAGTTTAAATAGGTTCTAATTTTAGCTGAAATAGTGCTTTCTATTTTAAAAGCAAAATATTTTTGGTGATCTATCTTTAAAAAAAAAATCTTGGTAAGAATCCTATCCAAAGCCTATAATTACAAACCTACCTAAACTAAGCTGTAGTGCTAGCATCACTATGCAGTTGTTTCATTACAAAAGTCTACTTTCAGGGGTTTCCCTGTATCTTTCCTTCCTTCATGCTATATTTGGAATACCAATATAAGTTTATCATTGTTTACAGGTAAAGATTTCCCATTTTACACATTTTTACACTATATATTAAACTGTTCATCATATGACTTCCATTTTCAAAACAAATTACATTTGTACAGAGAACAAAATGTCATCCTCAAGAAAGGATCTAAATGTATAATTTTTGAGATAATTTCTCAGAATCATTTTCCTTAATAAATAAGTGAAGAGTAAAATCAACCACAAATGTTATAAAAGATATTAAAATGACAAATAGACAATATATCCTAGATGGGTAACAAGAAAAAAATTCAACAGACTAAGGTTGTTCTAATTGTTTAGGCGAACGTTAGTATCAAAGCACATAAAAACTTTGCTGCATTTATAAGCAATGAATACGTTGAAAGTACATAAGTGTAATTCAAAAAGTTCATGGAAAAATAGAACTGAAAGAGAATATGAATCTCTCCATTAGCTTTCTGAAGTACCTGTATACATCGAGATGGCTTTCAAAATTTAAACATATCAATTTGAAAAGGCAATTTTACTTTAAGTTGACATGCCTTGTCATAATGATAATTAGTTAGTGTCTGCTACATGTTTTCCTCTGGAAAAGTGTCTTTAAGCTGTTACAATGGTTACCTGTCATTTATGATCCAGTTCAGACAGAGATTGAGAGAGCTAAGATTTTTGCACCTCTTGACAATTTCCATCACAGTTTCATTATCCAGTTCAGTGATGTGACGTAGGTCCAAGCTGGAAAGGTTTCTTAGCTAATGAGATAAAATGAAAGACGAAAAAAGTAAATGCAGCATTCATTCTCAAAAATTTTAAATAGTTTATTACAAGATACAGTATCACTGTACAATATTTATAATACATAATAGTTGAGAATTTTTTAATTAAACATTAATTACGTAATATTTTACATACTAAACTTAAAATGAGTATGGAAATCTATGGTGAATATATGAATGGCAACAAACATTAAAATAAAACAGATTTTATTGAGGCATCATAAAAATTAAAAGTTAGCAATCTATTGTCTAACAAGGTGGGCAAGCTGTTGAATATATTACATTAAGTACCTACAATCTGATGAGATTATTTTCTCTAATGTTCAACTTCAGATATTTATTTTCATAATTATAATGCCACATTATATATTTGCCATAATTATAATGTCACATTATAATGCCAATGTCATATTTTAAAGATAAAATATGAGTAAATGGTTAATTGAGAGATACCTTGGTGTTATTTTATCAATGTACTTCAAATTGTACCATTCTGAGTGCATGCTTCACTACGAAACAAAACATTGTTTAAGAAGTGAAGGTTTTTCTCAATACCATCTTTTCCATTTCTTCATTTTCTCTACTCCTTCCTCGAACTTTCTTGTCTTTCCCTGATGTTTAGTCTCCAAAGTAAATTAATGGCATCATTTACATAAAGTGGAAGGATCTTAATTATCCTCTTCAAATAAGCTACATTTTCAAAGAAGCTATTTTTGCTTAATAATATGCAAAGAATTAATCTAGAGGTATGTGGTAGACCAAACAACACTCACATCCCTCCCACCAAAGATTTCTATGTCCTAATGTGTTACCTTACAAGGCAAAAGAGACTTTGCAGATGTGAATAAAGTAACAAATCTTTAGATGTGGAGATTATCCCAGATTATCTGAGTAGGCCCAATCTAATCATATGAGTCCCTTATAAACAGACTCTTACTCAGCTAAAGTCGGAGAAATGTGATGGAAGATATAGGAGACATTTGAATCATGAAAGGGATCCAACTTGCCTTTACTAGCTTTGAACATGGAGAAAGGGGGCCAGAAGCCAAGAAACATGTCCTGCTCTAGACCTGGGAAGAGCCCTTAGCAAACAACCAGTAAGAAACAGGGACCTCGGACCTACAATCTGAAGGAGCTTAATTATGTCAAAAACCTGAAGGAGCAAGAAAATAGATTCTCTGCTCAAGCTTTTAGGAAGGAAGACAATCCAGCTGACACCTTGAGTTTAGCCTGGTGAGACCTGTGTCAGACGGACTTCTAACTTAAAGAACAGTGATAATAAATTTGTGCTGTTTTAAGCTGCTAAATATATGGGGAGTTTGTTACGGCAGCAATAGAAAATTAGTATACAGTATTTCCAGAATTAGAATAGAAAATTAGTATACAGTATTTCCAGCAACTTGAGGGAACTCTCCAGGACTGGCTTGCTGTTTGTTACGGCAGCAATAGAAAATTAGTATACAGTATTTCCAGCAACTTGAGGGAACTCTCCAGGACTGGCTTGCTTCTCTGTCCCACCATCAAATCCTTTTATAGAGGGTGCAGGTTACCCCTGCAGGAAGCAGATTTGCAGGTATAATTCCACTACCAAAGGCCTCAGAGTGGTGAAACAGCTAAGTCCCACCTGAAAGTCAGTTCAGCTTAAACACCAAGAGAAAAAGCAGATACTTGAATTTCCACTGAAAATGTTCTATATCTTTGCTGTTCAATATGATAACCACTAATTACATGCAGCTACTGAGCACTTGAAATGTGAACAGTGTGACAGGACGTGAATTTTTTATTTTGTTTAATTTAATTAATTTACATTTAAAATTTATATGTGCATGTAGCTAGTGGCTACAGTGTTGTGCAGCACAGCTCTAGAGAATGGTCATCGGGAGGCACCACCAGGCGGCACTTGTACCCTCTTGCACCTCAGCTCACAAAGGGAGAAGCTATACAGAGAGAGTTCAAAGAATCACTACTCATTGCTCCCTGAAGCATGCTGCAGAACTATGGAAACAGAAATAGCTAAGAGACATAAAATACAAAAAGGTCCCCAACAGTAAGTAAATTCTTTGTAATTGAGACAGCAAGATTCTGTAATGTCTTCTTCTAAGGGCTGAATTCTGAGCATTTGTAAAGAGAGAGCTTCAGGAAAACCTCTCTGCAATTGGCCTATCTGGCCAGATGTTCAAGGAAGTCACGTTCAGTCCACCGTGGGACTCAGGAAAATGGCAATCCTGAATGGAGGCAGAACCAGGAAAGAAGAAACGGGTTCTGACAAAGTTTCTACTCAAGTCACCATGGGCTAAGGGCTTTACAAATCAGAACATGACTGGTACTAGGCAACCAAAGCACACTGTAGGGGAATGGACTCACCCTTGTTAAAACAGAACTTCAGAGCTTTCTGGCTGTCTTAGCAGCTCCAGGCAGCTAACCAATCAGAAACTGGGCTGACTGCCTCAGTTTCCCTTTCCTCATGGGTCTCCTCGCTCTCATAATTATAGTCGACACCAAGTCCAGAGCCCAAAGGTGAGCTGTTTGGGCCCTAAATTCTACGACAAACATAGCTATTAATCCCTGTCCCTTACCTCTCAACTGTAGTTAACATAGGCTGGTATTAAACAAAACAAAACAATAATAACCTTTTTTTTAAAGTATCCTAAAGGAACAAAAAAATAAAGAACTATATAAAATACAGAATAAATAGCAAAATAAGTTTCTATACTCTTTCTGACCTCTCTTAAAGAAACAAAGGGCTGATATGCATGCTCCTTGCTATGTTTTCTTCCTTCAATACCTGACATATCTCCATGTGGTGGAGGTGAAGTCATCCACAGTAATGGCTGGGCTTGGAGCACAATGGAAGGCTGTGACTTGAGTGCCAATGTCTTTTATGAACATAAGATGCAGATGCCAGGAGTATAGAAGAAAAAGGCAATAAATCGGGAGAGAGAATTGTAATGTCAAATAGCACAAGTCTCAGTGTTTTATTAATTAGATCTGTTGTTACTTTTCATGAGAGGCAGGAGAGCAATGGTCTGGAAGAAGCTATGTAGAGCAAAGAGGATCCTGTCCCCACCTTCTGACCCTGAGAAACACAGTGAGAAAATAAACAGGTGTGACAGGCAGAATTCTAAGATAACCCCAATGACTCATGCCCTAGTATAATCCCTGCCCCTTGAGTGTGGCAGTACATGTGATAAGTACATAAGATGAGACAATATCCTCCTTATAACGTCAAGGTAAAAGCATTTTGTAGTTATAATTATGCTTCCTGATCAGTTGACACTGAATGAATCAAAAGGGAGAGTATCCTGGGTGGGCCTGGCCTAATCAATTGAGCCCTCAGAAATGGTCTAGAGGTCAGAGGGATTCTCCTGCTGGCCTTGTAGAAGTAAGCAGCCATGCTGTGAGAGGGACTATGAGAGGCCTCTAGGAGCTGAGATCAGTCTTTGGCTAACAGCCAGCAAGCCAGCAAGAAAATGGAGACCTCAGTCCTACAACCACAGGGAATTGAATTCTTCCAACAACTACATGAGTTTGTAAGAGAATCTGAGCTCTAGAAAGAAATGTAGCCCCAGCTGAGACCTTGATTGCCTTGTTAGACCCTCGGCAGAGGACCCAGATAACCCATGTCTAAACTCCTGACCCATGGAAATAGTAAGATGATAAATGTACATTGTTTTAAGCTGCTAATACATGAGTTTGTAAGAGAATCTGAGCTCTAGAAAGAAATGTAGCCCCAGCTGAGACCTTGATTGCCTTGTTAGACCCTAGGCAGAGGACCCAGATAACCCAAGTCTAAACTCCTGACCCATGGAAATAGTAAGATGATAAATGTACATTGTTTTAAGCTGCTAAATTTGTGATAATTTGTTGCACACCAATACAAAACTAAAATAGAAGGGCTGCAGGGGGTACCCTGTCTTTGAAGAGACTCTAGGCTTCATTTAAGAAGAGGGGAATATCATTAGCCACTTTAAACACTGAAGCTCACTGCCCTCCTTTACACGCATATGATCACAAAAGCAGAGTGAGATGCTTGACCTATTCAGCTTTCTCCTCTAGGTTTATCTTCAGCTGCCAAGAAAGTACTTCCTAGAAGACAGTTCTGATGTGGCCAGTCTTGTTAGCTCCACATTAGGAGAGAAAGAGAGAGACAGAGACAGAGGAAAAGGGGGTACTGCTAAATTTCTCAAACCAATCCTTATAGGAAGATGGGTTTAATGGAAATACTTCATGAAAATGTTTTCACAGCCCCTGGGTTTTACTCAATTCATATTGTGCCAATAGTCACATGCTTCCATGTATATTTTAATACCATAAGTTAACCGCTTTTTTACTTTCCCTAACGTTTTATTTTTCACAAGATTTTGCATTAGTGCTGGAGAAGTAGCTAAAATGGTTTCATTCATCGAGTTTTCTTATTCTTTATTGAGCAAAAATCAACTTATACTTGTGAAGAATCTCAGTCACTGTTAGATTTGATACGTCTCTTATTAATGCTCCCCTCACTAATGCTACTTACACTTCTGTTTTCTATCTAAAAACCCCCATTTTTTTTAAACCACTTTATTTTTACAGTTAGCTTTCTTTACAGGGCATTTTTTGATCCCCACACACAAAAAAGTTTTTAGCGCTGTTAGAGATGTACTGTTCTGGTAATACACGAAGAACCAAACAGCCTCTTTGAACGGCAGAAGCTGCGCAGCTTGCTAGGCTCATGTTCTGACAGCAGCCCCATGTTGGTACCACAGAAAACTTAGAAATAAATACATTAAATGGACCCACAAGGCTGCATGAAAATACTTTGATGCATGACTATTAAACCTATGGATTAATTTTGCTGTGTGTAAACATATGCATATGTAAAGTGTTAAATACAGCCATGCATAATACACATATATCATCACTTTATTTTCCCCATTATCCTTTATTATAGTCTCTAAGAAGACATAAAATCATAAAAATTTTATCCAGCTACATAA